GAAAGGGGTGAGAGGAAGGAGGAAGGAAGGAGGGGGGGAAAGGGGGTAGCTGGGTATATTGAGGAGGGACTATGGGTAGGCGGGGAAGGGAGGAAGGAGGAGGAGGAGGAGGAGTTAAAGAGGGGGGGGGGAGTGATGGGCAGGGAGTCAGGTAGGAGAGGGGGGGGAGGGAGGAGGGGAGGGGGATAGGCAGGGGAGGGCCATCGGGCACTAAGAAGAAGGGGGGAAGAGAGAGAGAGAGAGAGATTAAAAGAGGCAAAAGGAGAGTAAAACGAACGAGAGGGAATTAAGAAGAATAGAGATGAAAAGAGAGAAAGAAAGAATAGAGAAGAGAGAGGGATAATTAAGAAGAAAACCAAAAGAGAGAGAAAGAATTAAAGATACAAGAGGAAGGGAGACGAAAATAGAGAATACAGAAGACACAAATAAAGAGGGAAAAAAAAGAAGAAGAAGAAAGGGCAAAAAGAAAGGATACAGAAATTAAGAGAGATAAAGCGAAGGAAAGAGAGAGAAAGCAAAGGAAAGAGAGAGAAAGCAAAGGGAAGAGAGAGATAGCGAGTGAAAGAGAGAGAAAGCGAAGGAGAGAGAGATATAAAGTGAAGGGAAGAGAGGGAAAACGAAAGAAAGAAAGAAAAAGTGAAGTGAAGAGAGAGAAAGCGAGAGAAAGAGAGAGAAAGCGAGAGAAAGAGAGAGAAAGCGAAGGGAAGAGAGAGAAAGCGAAGGGAAGGGAGAGAAAGAGAGAGAAAGCGAGAGAAAGAGAGAGAAAGCGAGGGGAAGAGAGAGAAAGCGAAGGGAAGAGAGAGAAAGCGAGAGAAAGAGAGAGAAAGCGAAGGGAAGAGAGAGAAAGCGAAGGGAAGAGAGAGAAAGAGAGAGAAAGCGAGAGAAAGAGAGAGAAAGCGAAGAGAAGAGAGAGAAAGCGAAAGAAGGAGGGAGAAAGTGAGGGAAAGGGAGAGAAAGCGAAGGAAAGAGAGAGAATTTGAGAGAGTTAGAAAGAGGGAGAGAGAAAGAAAGAGAGAGAGAGAGAGAGAGAGAGAGAGAGAGAGAGAGAGAGAGAGAGAGAGAGAGAGAGAGAGAGAGAGAGAGAGAGAGAGAGAGAGAGAAAGAGAGAAAAAGAAAGAGAAAGAAAGAGAGAGAAAAAGAAAAAGAGAAAAAAAGAGAGCGAAATAAAGAGAGAGAGAGAAAGGAAGAGAAGAGGAGATGAAGAGGGGTACCAGAGGGGGTGGAGGGGCAGTGATGAAAAAGGGGAGGGGGGAGTAGGGAAAGGGGGAAGGGGGGAGGAGGGGGGAGGGGGTATTTCGGCTGGTACCACATGGCC